ATACATACACACACACACACACACACACACACACACACACACACGAACGCACACACATACAGTATATATATGCATGATAATATTCTCTGTCTTTCCAGCACCGCTGCATTCTTCCAGCGTTCAGGGATGGTGGTAGAAGAATTCAAGATTTTTTTTTAATATAATCTTTATTCGAACAAGTCATCGTACAATTCTCAATGAACAGAAAACAAAATGAACATGTTATTAATACATACACATATTACAAACATTTAAACAAAAAAGAAGCCAGGGGATTTTAAACAAAAATTTCAAATAAGGAGCATATAGCCAGAGTTTTAACAGCTTTCTTGTTTTTAGAATCCATAATAGAACTTAGGTCCTGCTTTATTTCTGTTTCAAAAATTAAAAAAAGAGGTTTTAAATTAAATTAAATTACTCCATAGAAGAATTCAAGATCAGTCGGCAGAAAGCTGCCAAATGACATCTGGCTTTCAAGCGCTCAGCGGCCCATACTGACTTGGTGCCACGCAGCGGCGCTGTTGTCAACACCTCCGCTACTTCTGCTGTTTTCCTTCAGTGTGAGCTGCTTGTGTGGGAGTGAGAAATGCGCTGGAGCTATCTCTTGAAACCGATGGTTTGATGACGGCAGGCTTTTGTTGTTCAGACACTCAGCCAGGTGCTTCGGGCTGTAGGGGCTCCTCTCAACGAAGAATGAACAAAGAATCCGGACTTGTGTTCCTGCACGGATAGCGCAGAATTCCAACCCAAAAAGACGGTAATTACTCGTTTTCTTCCCGTGTGTGTAGATCCAAATGTTGTTTTACTACTCTCGATAAATGAAAGGATGTGTTTCCATCGCTGTGGCTTGCATTGGATGCTGCAGGTTTGTTTACCACCCGAATGCGCTCCGATATTCGCCTCCAATGAATGAATCTTCGCGTCGTTTTATGCTACGACACCGGGTAAGCATGAAGAAGCATGAATGGCAGACTGGGTGTTTATGAATATTTTAACTAAAACGGTGAAGCTGCTGCTGGGCCTGCTGCTGGTGCAGCAATATCAAACGTGTCAACTATATTACAGTACAGTACTGTACCTCTTTTAACTGAAGATGGAAGCACTTACAATATCTTAAATTTCTGGTCAGTGTTGTTTGTCCAAAAGGATGGAAAAACCTTGTTTACAATTGCACACATGTGGAACCACCCGAAAAAATAAATAGGTACCTTCAGATAAAGTATACAGATTAGGTTTCAGACATTTAATACCCAAAATTATTAGGCAATAGAGTGCCTAAAGAGATAAAGCTTCCCACCATCTCAATCTGCCTGGAGATTTCCACCAGATATGTTTTTCCTCAAATCAGAGCCTTGAGTTGATGAGATACGGGTTGACATTAACGCTGTGGTGTTCAGCAGTGTGTTATAGTCCCCAAAATGTGATTAGTCTGCCCTGGTTTCAACAGACAATAAGCCCTCCACACCAGCCACATGAACTTCGTTTCATAGCACACATTAGTGTCTGTTAAAGTAATAAAAGTTAACTGACCAGCAGGGTTGGGAAGGTAACTTTGAAAAATGTATTCCAATGCAGTTACTAGTTACTTAGTTCGTAATCTAATCCAAGTACCATAACATAACTGGATTACTTTTAATTACTTTTGGATTACGCAAATACCAAATATGTGAAAAAAAACAAAACGTCAACAACAACAAAAATCCATCCATTCATCTATTCTCCGATCCAATTTATCCTCAGCGGGGTCGCAGGGGGTGCTGGATCTTATCTCAGCTGTCTTCAGGCAGTAGGAGGGATACACCCTGAACTGGTTGCTAGCCAATGGCAGGGCACACATAGATAAACAAACATTCACACTCACAATCACACCTAGGGATAATTTAGAGTGTTCTATCAACCTATCGTACATTTTGGGGGAATGTGGGAGGAAAATGGAATACCCAGAGAAAACCCACACAGGCACAGGGGAGAACATGCAAACTTCACACAGGAAGGCTGGCGTGGAAATCGAGCGATGTACCTCTACACTGTGAGGCGGATGTGCTAACAGTCAACACCGTTCCGCCCAACAAAAATCTGTTTCATATATTTATTTGTCTGGTCTTTTCTGTCTTATGGATGGTTTTGAAATTCAGGAGGAAACCTGAGCACCTGCAATTCAAATCAAAGCCCAGGAATTGTGAGGCAGACATGCTAACTAACCACTTGTTCAGACAAAGCCCTGATGGAAATGGGTTTTCATCTGCCAGTGTAATCGTCACTAACTGGGTCAACTCTCACTGACGGTTGCCCATTTCGCTGACTGAAGGGACCACATACAGCAGGCTCTATTTGATGCCCGGTGCAAATCGAATTTAAAGCAGTCTTTATTCTATTTTATTCTGCTCAATTCAAAAATGGCATTGGCAGAGGACTTCAGAACATGCTACAAAGTACAGTATTAGTAATGCGAGCTACACTTTAAAATATTGCTTGGAAATAACAATGAATCCCTTAATCGTCCATTTTCACCTGGTCCATGAAGAAAATAAAATGTCAATGATGAAGATCCCTGGTCAAAATGAGTTTGATAATGTCAGCACTGATGCATTGCATTACTAATCCCAACCAGGATGGCTGGAAGTCCTTTTTGATATTTGGGGATTATATAGAGGGGTCTGACATGTAAAAAAAAAACTTTGCGAATCCAGATGAACCTCAAATAATAAATAGTCAGGGTAAAATCCATTCCAGAATTGGTCAAGCTCACAGACAAACAAACCCAGTGGAAGATGGTCAATGAAATTCATGGAAAAGATTCATATGCAATATAAAAGGAAATAAAACATACATGAATTACTACAAAATTGCATGCAACTGTGTGCGTGAAACAAATGAAGCAAATCTGAGAGAACAAGGCAGGAGGTAAGTGAACAATAAACAAAGCATCTGGGCTAGAACAATGGATAAAGAACAAAGCAGAGAGAACAAAGTAAGTGTAAGTACATTTCCATGAAAACTAACGCAAATGCATCTTAGTGTCTTAAGAGTTTCTTTTTTTGGGCGATTGAGGCTCAGTTGCTAATGCAGGTCATCGCCGGTTTGAATCCTAGCTTTGACTGTCCATTGTCGAAGGGTCCTTGGGCAAGACACTGAACCCTCGTTTGCTCCCAGGGGGGGGCCTTGCATGGCAACAGCCTTTCATTGGTGTATGAATGTGCATGGGAATGGGTGAAGGTGAGGCTTTGTGAAGTGCTTTGAGAACGATATCGTGTATCAAACGCTATTTAGGTGCACTTTACCAGTGATGTTTGGACACTTGATGATGACGTAATGAAGTAGCTCCCATTTGGCTCTTTGCCAGTGGAAAACCAAACACGTTCTTCGTAAGAACTTGTTAAGCACCACCTAAGCACAGCACTGGCCCTGGCACCAAACAAGCACCAAGTTGGTGGTTTTTTTTCGTTTTTTTTGTTTTTTTGTGGAAAAAGCTGTATGAGTCACGTCGGCTCTTTGTTCGGCATGCAGGGAAACCTTCTCTTTAGCACATCAACATGAAACAAAGCATCTTTTCCGCAATAAGGGTGCCGATGTGGCTGTATTATTATTTCTTTAATATAAATTTTTTGGGGGAAAAAAACGCGAAATACTGAAGCAGCAAAACTTGAAGTCTGAAGTGGCAAGGGATCACTGTATTTATATTTTATCGAGGCAGTATATGCATAACCTACAGAAGGAAGTGCAAAATGACAACAGAGTGGTACTTCCGAGTATACAGTATGTGGATGGAAAGAAAGCACACTGGCAAGAAAAGGCACTTCCAAAGGCGCCTGAAGAAAAAAAAAACATAGAGCAAACAAAACAGGAATATAATCAAGACAGATAACACAAACTGAAAGAAAGTGAGCAAAGACGTTTCATTACATTTTTTTCACATCCTAAAAGTTCAGTCAGAGAACGTTCTATTGACTGATTTTTGATGTTTTTTTTTGTTGTTGTTGTTGTTTGTTTTTTTATCAGTGCTCAAGCGAGTGTTTCATTGAAATCCAAGTGTTAATGTTGAGCCGCTGTCTTCTGCGCTCTCCCAAAGTGGGCCTCCACCCTTGGTAGTTGAATTACTGCCAGAGTGCTGCTCTGAATTAGTGCACTGACCACATGCAGATGGTTATAGTATATGCTTCAGAAGAAAGTTATAATTTTAAAGTTGGTGGAAAATTGGACGTTTGAAGTTACAGTATGTCATATAATATACAGGACTATGTTCGGCTGGCTGTCTTTAATCTCGTTGCCCTCAATTTGCTCAATCTGGTACGGCCTTGCGATAAGGTCCTTGCAGCAAATTTGTGTCCTACAAACACGGACAGAATTGTTGTTCATGAAAGAAAAAAAAGAATTAATAGAAAGGCGAGCAGCTATAAAGGACATTCGCAGCCCTCGCCATGTTGAGATACTTGCACGTCAAAATTATTTTTTTTTTTTCGAAAATGCCACCATCAAGCTCCAACATAAAGGATTTTCTTTGCCTGGTCTCATAAGGGTACAAAGTTGAATATGTTTTTGAGAATGTTTTGTGAATGTTTGGTCCCTTCTCAAACTTTCCTCTTTTATCTTGAAATGGGATTTTGACTTTTTCCTTGCCCGGTTGGGAGTTTGGATGATGGCATGCAGGGGTGTGCAGTGACCTCTAGAGGGCCTGGTCCACAAAGTACAAAAAGAGGCACATGCGTAACTGATGGTGTTTATGCAGCGTCCCCCAACTCGGAGTTCAAATCTGTGCCACCACCTTGCCGTTCGCCGGGAAGCGGAGTGGCTGACTGCTAAGTTAAAAACTAGTAAAAGGCCAGCACTATCTGAGACCTCAGAGGAGTGAGGTTTTGCAAACATATAATTGGGCGTCTCGAGCTGGAATCTGTTGCACTACGATTCACGATGAATGTTATATAGGACTGCAACATCACATGTCATTGTACCTACTTAATTATTTGGTAGGGAGCGGTGGAAAGTGAAAGAATGTTTTACCTGATGGGGTTTGTTAAACAGCTTCTGTTGATGTGGATTTGTGGAAAGATTGCTGCAGCTGCTGCTAGTGCTGGAGCTGGGCTGATTTGGCCAGAGTGCAGAAGCTGCAAAAGAAAATGGGAGGAGTTGGTTAGGCAAGTATAATACGATTCATTTACAAGTATGCATTGGAATTGGCTCACTGTGAAAAACCTGCTATGCCACAGAGGGTTTGGAGACTCCTCATTGAGATTGACACTGCCGTAGAATGAAATATAGACAAACTGTAATCTAATGCATATAAAAGACACAGAGTGACATTTCATACCATTTCTAGAAATACACTAAAATTATGAGTTTGCGCCAGTGGGGCTGATTCATAATTTGCTCTTCATTAGTTTGCACACAATCAAATAACACAACTATAGATGTACAAAACACGCTATTCATCCTCACCAAGGTCGCAGGGCGTGTTGGATCCTATCCCAGGTGTCTTCAGGCAGTAGGCAGGGGACACCCTGAACCGGTTGCCAGCCAATCGCAGGGCACAAATAGACAAACAACCTTTCGTGCTCACACTCACACTTCGGGACAATTCGGAGTATTCAATCAGCCTGCCATACATGTTTTTGGAATGTGGGAGGAAACCAGAGTACCTGGAGAAAGCCCACGGTAAGCACGGGGAGAACATGCAAACTCCACACAGGAAGGCCAGGGCCGGAATCGAACACAAAACACACTACTTCATTAAAATTGTGAATAATTCACATTTGTTGAAAAAACATGAAAGTAAAATCGCACACTTAACCGATACCATATCAACGTCAAAAGATGGTATTGAAAAGAACAGTAAAACACAGTCGTACTCTGCAATAATATGTCTCTAAGCCCTATCTAATATCAAGACGTGTTTTACATACCGGTAGCTTTTCTGCATTCATCATTACTATGTCCTTGGCTTTTTGTGTACTATGAGACTATTTAATGAAACAATACAAATGGAGCGAGTAGCGACCAACTTACTGACAGAGGGTGCTTAGCTCCGAAAGAGCGGTGCGTCGAGTAGTATGTCATGTCATCTGCAAGGGTCTTGTGACCAAAGGTAGCATAGTAATCATCATTATAATTGTATTTATTTAACTTATGTTCTTGATTTTTTTTAAAGGCAAAAAAGGGTGGCTGGTGTGCTAAGAGCTTATCCCAGCTGACCTTGGGCAGTAGGCGGAGTACACCCTGAACTGGTTGCCAGCCAATCGCGGACAAGAAAATATGATTTTGTGAATACGTGTAACAGTCACATAATGTGGTGACCACTGACTAGCAGGGACTAAGCCAAAAGTTAAAGAACAGTGACGCAAACACACATTTTGAATTTCTACAACAGCCAACCTTTTTCCACAACAAATGAGGCCGTCACTGTGGTTTTAACTTCAACCTTGTTTCACCTTAAGGTATTTACGCATCACACATTGAAGATCGAAAATTATATTACCCAATCTTGAAATAATTTTATTTATACCATTTAAAGTGTGACTACCCCCATCATGAATTTAGAAATATACAGCAACTAACCAGTGCACTTAAGTGTGACAGTAAGTCAACGCAGGTGACGCACAGTGCGTAAGCCACCACTCTGCCTGGGCAGGAATGCTGATTTCACATGAATTCTCTTTGCTCCTCTTCACTTATTTGATTGATTATATTAATTCAAATGTACTTTTCTTTTGAATAGAAATTAACCGTTAATCGTACTTGAATGTAATTATATTGAAAGTGAATTTTCACCTAATGGGCGAGCCAGTCTGACATGAAAAAAAACAAATGTATCCATGTTGACTACTGTACTACAATGTATTTTTTCCCCTGAAATTAGGTCACTATAGGAATGCTAAATTATGGATTATTATTATTATTATCATTATTATTATGAATAGTAAGTTTATCACAGTGTTCCACTCCTACACATTTCTACATAACTTGAAACACATCTAAATCCATCACTAAGGGATGGAAATGCAGCAATAAAGTCATAAAGTAATAGAATAAATCCAGTACCTGAATGAAAAACCATGAATATAACACAATTGAATGACAAACGATAAGTTGTATACCATTGCAGTAATGAAATAAAAATTGCCTGGAATTTTTTACTACCAGTCCGCAACCCAACCATAATGAATCCGCAGCCCACTTCTGGGTCCAGGAATCTGTTTGTTTCAAAATAAATAAATAAATGGATAAATTCCATAAACCCATTATACAGAACTACTTAATCCAGATGTTTTTGTTTTGTCTTCTGTGGTGTTGCGTGTCGAGTTTGCTACTTATGGTCCTGCCATTAGTGGAGATCTGCACACAGGATGCAGATTAAAGCAGGATTAATACCCTGGTTCTATTGTACGGGGTTGATTTGTAGTTCTAGTTTGGTTGTGGCAGGGATTTGTTTGATCAGTGAAGTGGCCCACATAGATGTTGAGCTATCAGAGCCACTCACATCATGCCATAAATGGCTGTTTTCTCTGTTGTAGCCCTCCATAGCTACTTCACAGCCCATTTTCTTGTCTGTTCCATTTACCACTCGATGCCAAGTTAAGACAATTAGCTGCTCTTTTTATTGTTTTGAAGAAAACCACTGCTGTAGGTGTTTCTTTGTGTTTTGAAAAACAGGGTGGGATTTAATTAAATCAAGAAATAAAAAAAATTGGAAATTCCGGAGTGGAACGTGTCGCTATAATGTATTGTTACTTCCCTTATATGGCAGTTTAAATGATTATCCAACAACCAACATGTTCCCCTCCCCGGTGGAGGGGTTTGTGTGTCCCATTGACTCTTGAAGCCAAGATGTCTCGAGATGTTTGCCCCTGCCAGGGGCACCCATGGCGAACGGGTCCTCGGTAAGGGACCAAACAAAGCACAAGAGCACTCAAATAGCCTCTTTAGATCTGACCCCGGATAAGTGGAAGAGAATGGAGGGGTGCCGCAAACACAGTTACACTCAAGGTGTGTCAGAAATTAGAATGTTTCCATAACTGGGGCCACAAAAGAAATACTGTATATCAAACCCAAACTACAATCTTGACCCTTCAGTGTGGGAGAGACGATGAAACAACACATTGACAAAGAGATCCCGTGACGTTTGCTTTGTTCAGTGTGTGAGAAAAGGTGAGAGTATGGCATGGATCCTGTACTGTGACAATGAACTTATTCACAATGCACTAAGCATTCGCCAAGAAGAATATCTCGACATAATATAACGAAACTGTTCCTCGCCGTAAATTAAATCAATTACTCTGAAAGACAAAATTGGCATTTTTACACAATAATGGCGGCTAAATGGAATTGTTGTTATCAATACATGAAGCCCAACATCACAAAGTTGGCTTTATTCTGTTTTGATCTTGTTTTTTGTTGTCTCTTACCACTTTTGCTCTCTTTCCTACAGATATTGACATGAAGAAAGACATTGAGACATTAATTGCTGAGGAAAGAGCTGACATCATTTTAAAATATGCCACGGTAAGTCTGTGCCTAAAAGCATATCATCAATTCTTTACTAGCTCACAGAAAATATAGCCCCATTACAGCCACGTTTGCGTGGTGGGGGAGGACCCCAAAAAGCAGGTAAGAGGGAAGAGCAGGGTGTACTTCACAAATTGTATTAAAACATAGAGAAAACTGAATCCTAAACAAACAAAGTCCAAAGTATCAAACAAAAACCATGGCAGAAGCTCAAAACTAATAGTAATAGAAACATGACCTAAACATTACCGAACAAACAAACATGACAGTTACAAGCAAACACTAACAGCAACAGTAGCAACAAGCAACAATGACCCGACACCGAGTGGTCGGGCGGGAGTCCTTTTATGCTACTAATTACATAACGACCAACAGGTGTGCAGCTGCAGGGAGAACCCTACAGTGCCACCTCTTGGTTACAAACAGAATCATGACACGTTGTCCTTTAATAACTGTAAATTGCGATCGGAAAGGTACATCTTTTTCTTGAACTCCCATGAAACCTCATTTCACCAAGGCCTCTGTTCTCGAACAAATCAGATTATGAACAAAATGTTCAGAAAAATAATTGCTTCAGAACACAAACTATGGTTCAGTTTGTGAACAATCAACGCATCCACATGGAATCTTCAATTGTGCATTCTCTTACACGGCGTGAACGTTGTTATTTCCGTGTGTAGCGTTTTTCACATTCGTGTTTTTGCTCCAATTTAGCCCTCAGTATGGCTTGACAACTTGGTTCTGGAATGTATTTCAGTTCATTTTAAGGGCAAAAAATTGTTTCATTATATTTCGCAAACAGAGTCTCAGAATAAATTAATTAATCAACTGAGGTTCCACAGTTTATGACTTTCCGTCCGATTGTCCAAACTTTACATTTTAATATTTTTGTAAATAGGTTATGTCTTGGTCTTCTAGAACAGGGGTCCCCAACCGCCGGTCCGCGGACCGGTACCGGTCCGCAGGGCATTTGGTACCGGGCCGCACAGAAAGAATTTGCCTTAATTCCGTTTTATTTATTTTGGAATACGAAAGATGTTTTATTTTGAAAAATTACCGGATTCTCCGTTACATCCGTCTGTGTCACGCTTGACACACGTCAAGCCGCGCTTCTCCATCATGTGATCGATTACGCTAAAAACAAAACGCCAGAACTCGCAAAATGAGTAATAAAACTGCTGGAGAGCGCAAATGACGGCGGCCTTAAAAGTACGTTCGAGACAACTGCATTAAAGTTATGGCTGAATATTCTGAGATCGCCACAGTAGCACTGTTGCTATTTCCGACATGCTACCTGTGTGAGGAGGGGGTTTTCTGCAGCAATCAGAGAGAGTTTTGCGGCCAGATTAGACGCTCCTTGTGTTTATTATTATATTTCGAAAACACCATAGTTTCCATGCAGCTCATACCATATTAGTTTGTTGTATTATTTCCGCCACACCTTAAATGCCGGTCCCTGAAAATATTGTCTGACATAAACCGGTCCGTGGGGCAAAAAAGGTTGGGGACCCCTGTTCTAGAACATCAGTCATGAGTTGAACCCTTTTCAGGGGGAGCGGTTACTACAGTGGACAGCTTATCATGTTATCAGGTCACAGGGTGCATGAAAGGATTACATCATCCATCCATTCTCTTCCGCTTATCTGGGGATGGGTGGCGGGGGCAGCAGCTTTAATAGGAAAGTGCAGAATTCCCTTTCCTCGCCGACAATGTCCATCTCTTCCGGGAGGATCATGAGTGATTCCTAGTCTAGCCGAGAGACACCTCTCTGGCGTGTCCCGGGTGGTTCTTTCCAAGGACCTCCGTCCTCCCAACGGAACATACCTGAACAATTCACCAGGGAGGTGTCCAGAAGGCATCCTAACAAGTTTCCCTTGCCACCTCATCTGGCTCCTCTCGATACAGAAGAGCAACAACTCAACATTGAGTCCCTCTTGGATGACTGAGTTTCTCATACTAGCTTTAAAAGAGGAGTCTAATTTCGGCCGTTTGTATCACCAACTTGTTCGTTCGGGCACGACTCATGAGCGACAGCACGTGATCACAGGTGAAGGTAGGAGTGTATCAACCAGTAAATCGAGAGCTTTTGGCTCAGCTCCTTTGTCAAAACGACAGAGCAACGCAAACTTTGCATCGCTGCAGACACTGAACCAATCAACCTGTCGATCTCGCCTCCCTTTCTTTCCTTACTCGTTAAGAAGACCCCAAGAAATGTGAACCCCTCCACTTTAGGAATGATTAAGTGTTTGCTGTAAATCAGTTGAAGTAAAATCACACACAGTCATTGTTCACTGTAGCTATATCCTGGACTCCACTGTATCCAAAATTGCGCAAAGAAGAGGAGGAAGAGTTGAGAAGAGAAGCGAGAATGTTAAGAAGAATGAAAATGTGAAATTACATCTGTTTGTTGCTTTGTGTAACTCTTGGGTGAGAAGAGAACAAACTCGTGTGGGAGTGCGCAGGTGGATGCATTCGTGTTGCCAAAAGCCATTTAGATTAGTTGTATAATGTTGTGCATTGGATGCGAGAATGTGGGCCAGTGTTTCTTTGTCGAACGAAATCTTCAACGAGTCATTCAGTCAGCCATAAATTCATTTTTTTCTTTTGTCTCAGAGTGACAGCATAGCATCTATTTGCATGAGCATCGATAGATAGACAGGTAGATAGATAGATAAATGAATATCAAGGTAGTCACTTCGTAAATCAGTAACATTTGGAATGAAAGTTGAATTCCTCATCAAGCTTCATTGTAGGTTTGTAAAAGCTGATGTTGAGCTGAAAGATGGATAGTAAGGTTAAATTTAGCTTCATGTCTGAGCGGCGGGGGAGGGGGTCTGCTCTGTCTAGCCATAGCAACAGCTGTGACACACTTTGCACTGATTGACGTTTACAGATTTCTGGCTAAGTTGCCAGCGAGAGGAATGCATACATTCTAATGCAGGTTTCCAGCTGGGGCACAGCTGGATCCAAATAAAGCTCACAGCATGATAGTGTTTGTCAAAACTGTCTTGTTTGGCATCTCTCCCTCATGAGATACCTCTACCATCATAAAATTACTTTTGACAAAAATGAAAATTAATATGTATGCTGCTTTGTAACCACTATGAATGCTTAAAATTGCAAGACCAGCCCGATGCGCTTTCATTCTTTTTCTAGATTTACAGAGTGTGGATAGGCACTGTTTGATTGAACTAGGAATTAACAAAAATGAATTTTCAAGACCTTGAGCCATATACTGGTTGTACTGATTGTATTTGTTTTTTCTTTTTTTGACCAAATCATACAATTTGACTGTGTGACAGACCTGGAGAATGCATGTGAATGCAGTTGACATCAGTTTTCATTTTGGCAATCTACTGTCAAAGTAGTGACTTTAATTTAAGATATGTGTTTTCTACCCTCTCAAAATGTATCTGAGTTCATGACAGGGTGCTGTCAGAGTGAGTGGAAATTGTGGTAAAGAGGCTCGAAGATCAAAGCATGTAAAAAATGCTTTTTAAAGGACTGCAAGCAGACCTCCACTATTGGGTGATGTTAACTTGCCATGGGTGTTCACAGATCACTGCTGTGAAGGGGTCATTTGGAGGACCACCTTCCACCTCGATAGATTGTGTCGTAATAGCCGTGCCGCAACCCGAGGTGGTATAATATAGGTGATGATGATAATGATGATGCATTCATTTAACTGATTACAACAATGATTCAGAGGGTTTGATGTGCGAGGGTTTGATGTGCACTGTCATATTTATTAATGAAATACGATGACATCGACAACACATATCAGCAGAGTGTAGAATCCGTCTGCCTAAGCCAAGGTCAGTGGTTCTTCACCTGGGTTCAATCGAACCCCAGGGATTCGGTGAGTCGGTCTCAGGGGTTCGACGGAGACTCTGCCATGGAGGTTAAGACACACCCGACTCAACATGTCATTTAGTTACGACACGCCCGCTTGGCCATCGCTGGCTGCTTGTCCAATCAGTGCTGCGGGAAATTTAGTTTGCTCAGTAGTCAACGTGTGACTGTCGTGATAGTACCTTGTGTGACTTATTTATTTATTTTTTTTAATGTTTCAACACATGCTATGTCGAGCAAAAAAAGAAAGTGGTCGGACGAATATGTCCCACATGGATTCACATACCTCACGGAACGTGATGGGACTCAGCATTCTATCTGCATGATTTGTCATGCCGAGTTGAGCAACTCTCATCTCGGACCGGCAAAACTGAAGGAACACTTCTTGAATCACATTTTTATTTTTCACTCTGGGTTCGGTGGATGCGCATATGAAGTGGTTGGGTTCGGTACCTCTGACAAGGTTAAGAACCAATGGCTGAGATCAAATTCCCCCAAATCGCATTACACCACCTGTGCCCCAACTTAGACCTGCTCTGAGCTGGCCTAAAGTCTAGTACATTGTTAGGTGCACCGGGGATGTGTAAAATAAAATGCCCTCAATCCACTCCAGCACGATCTACCAAATTCCCAAATACGATAAACTAGACTTGCCCCGTCATGAATATGAAGATGTGTCATTTTTTAACGCAGAGTGCACATGTGCTGTGTAACAAAATAGAGCCCCTTTAGTTTCCTCTCATTGTCTCATCATTCTTAATCTTTCAACTGCGCTGTGCCTGGCCCAAGTGGGATTCTGCAAATGTAATGTTTTCCTCCACTGCTCAGCCATCAGATAACACTGGGGAAACAACTTTTTTTTTTTTTTTTTTTTTTAGTTAGGTCTGACAGCTGATTTGAACACATATTTGCATGCGGAACCCAAAACTGGTGTTGGTTTTTCTCTCTCACATAAAGTTTTTGAGCTACAGGATGCCCGTTTTCTTGAAAAATAAGAAATACATGTGTATGTATGTAAATAAGAAAAAATGCATAAAATTAAATAGGATTTACAAGTCCCAGGGTTACAAGGTGAAGAGAAAAGCCATCACTAATCCTCTTACTACCTCCTATCCTAGCTCTCTGTTTGTGATAGTACTAACCTTTTTGGAGCTGCACACCCCTCTCACTACACTGTCTCAATTGTGACTGCACAAACAAGATGCCACGAAGCTGTAGATGAGCCCAATCATCATAAAATGACAAGTCTTACTATAGCGAATCATTGGATTTTTTTCTCGTAATCGGCGGAGAATAAAACTGACGGCAATTTTGGAATCAGCATGGAAATTTCAGTTTGAATCAGTCTAAAAATCGAACACAATAGATTTTTTTTTTTTATCAATTTGTTCCCCAGTGTCATTGACTTGATTTCACCACCGACAATTTTTTTTTCCTTTCCTCAGTTTGATTTATAACCTTGATTTATTGGCATGCATGATTGTGTCTCCAGGGCAGACAGGGTGGGGTCGAGATTGACCCCTGGGAAGATGCTGACTACAACCTCTATAAAGTTATTGATCGCCTCGGGTTCATGCAGTAAGTCCATTCTTGGTCTGTTGACTGACGTAACAGCTTACTCTGACTTTGTGGCAATATCTTTCTGTTAGTCCTATTTATTTATTGATTGATTTATTTGGTTTCTAGTGAAAGTGAGCTGCCTGCACCAACTGCAAATGAAGAAAAGGTACACTGTTCTGCGCATTTCCAAGTTATCAAACCAGCGACATGAATTATGCCCGAATGGAATTCACAAAATTTGCCTCACATTTCCTGCACCGGTCGTGTGACATCATTCCTGCAGAAGGGAAGTTTTGTCCACTGCCAGCCACCAGATTATCAGGTGCACTGAGTATATTCCAGCGCATCCACCATGGCGTAGAACAGTCTGCCAAATTTCAGGCAAAGCAAGGATTGCACCCTCACAAGAATCAAGTTGGGACAGTTTTTACACTTGAGGGCATCTGCGCCTTTTATAAATATAGAGCCCATAGTGTCAGAGGTCGGTCAGAGAGGCAAAACGGTGCCTGTGTGTAAGGGATGTGTGAAGGTTAACACCCTCACTCCTTTGTGTTCAGAGCTGTCTCCGGTGTCCCCACACATGAATCATCTAAATGTTCAAAGCTGCAATGGGTGTCTGAAAGAAACTTGCCCCTTCCAGCATTTATGTCTGACAGACAAATGCGACAAAAAGCCGGCTTCATTGTTATGCCGCTGATGTGGAAATTTTGCATGCAGTCAATGTGAAAGGGACGAGCTACGAAGTCAGTCCTTCTACTCACTTGCTCACTTCATTGCTTGTTTTTTTTTCCACAGCTGAAACATCTCGAGGTAGAGAGAGCAGAAAAATGGCTGAAGATGGTGAAGAAGTGGGATAAATACAAAAACAGTGATAGAGTGAGTAGCAGCCAACATATCCAAAGGAAGAATCATGGGAGACCACTCGATCCTAAAAGACAATAAAAGAACTGACAGACTGGTTATTAAGATCTAGCCGCTAGGTCCTAGCACTAAAATGCTGATAGTGTGCTCATGTTTTGGATGCTTTTTGCTCTTTTGATATTTTTCACATGATCCATCAAAGATGCCTTAATGCATCTGTTATGATTATTATGGCCGACAGCAACAAAGTTATGAACATGTTGACGGTCTAAACATGATGTTGATCTTACCCAACTAAAACTTCTGGATTTGCATCTGCCACATTTTTACTCTCCTTGACTTGATGCTGTGAGATGGTGAAACGGGTCTACAAAGGCATCCCTGTCCAGCTTCGAGGTCGTGTCTGGTCTCTGCTGTTGGATGTGGAGAACACTAAGAAGGTCAACGAGGGCAAATATGAGGTAAACACAATAATAATTTGACTGCGCAAAAGTGTGGAGAATGAGTGTGCTGTCTTTTGATATTACCCCCCAGAACCGGCAAAAACAGTCAAAGTTGTTCTAATACGTGGACACGGACAATAGTAGTGAAAGCAAAACTATGGAAATGTTTTCTTTTTAAAAAATAGATATCGTCAATTTTAATTGGTTCCCCATCATCTTATATTCCACAGGGGCTGTACACAAAATCCTGCGCAATTGTTTGGCATGTTCACATGTGTGGACCCCTATGTATAAGCCATAATTGTTTTTGTGATCATTACCCTTTTTTATTCGATTACAATTCAATAAGATGAACCAAAAGTTACTCCACATCCGTAAAGGAGTTGGAGGAGCTTTGCTCTTTGTAAATTTAATTTGGGGCGTGATTGGATTGTTGTCACACAATCATGCTGGAATAAGTTAGCGGTGCGCTATTCATGTGTCGTGTACTTGATTCATATCACATGACATCACAACATATGACATTTTTTTTCTGGACTACTTTGGCAATGAATTTGTGAGGTTTGATTCTGAATGCCCTTATTCACAGTGCCGCCATTGTTTATCTGCAACTGCTCAGTCTAAGGCCTGTCACGAATTAGCAACAATTCGGACGATAAATGCCATGTCCTTTGTCTTTGCTGCTAATCTGGGATGCTACAAATTGTGAAAAGAAATACGACCCTGCATGCTCTTAAGATTTCAGTTACCTTGTGAAATCAGTGTAAATAAGTCTTTTCCATGTGTTACTTTATCTTGCAAATGCAATCATCATCCTTTCATGAAATGTTGGCTTTCATAAATATACACAGTATGCATATCTTAAACTACTCATAACGCCTTCACTTCTTGGTGTCCCAGAAAATGAAGGAACAAGCCAAACTCTACTCATCTGAGATTAAACAGATTGACCTCGACATTAACAGGACCTTCCGCAATCACGTCATGTTCATGGACCGCTTTGGAGTCAAGTAAGGATTCACTTTAACACTTTGATCCACAAGCAGACCGATCAACAAAAGGATAACTTCAAAAGACAACACATATAATAGAATGTTTCTCGAACTTTTTTCGAATTTGACCACGAGAGTCACTGACGAATGCCAAACGTTACATTTCTTTGTCAATTGTGTTGTCGATTCACAGGCTACATCAATTCAGACTGGGAGGATTTTCATGCACACAAAAAAGATGATTTTAAACAAATTGATAATGAAAGATGTCACTTTCTTGTTTGGCAGCTACTAATTGAGAAAACTTCTTAAAGTGAGGTGCCAGTGTAGTGGAAAAAGATAGTCACCCCAATCAACAGCTTGTAGTGGAAACATCTTTGTTCAGAACGTAGAGGCCGACTATAAAGTTAAGGCTGAAAATAAAAATCAAACATAGTTGAGAGGGAATTGAGGAACTTCATTTTATCAATTTAGTTAAATTGGTTAAGATATCAACCATCCATCCATTTTCTAATGCCCTTATCACCACGAGGATCGCGTACGTGCTGGAGATTATTTTGGATATAATTACGCCATGAAATCAGGGAGCATTTTTGTGGTAAGCCTTTACATTTGCAACCCCACTGTAGACTGAGAGCGAGAGAGAAAAAAGCAGGCTATGTTTTGGTTTCAATGGAATGTTGCGCTCTACAGCATGATGTCATTGTAATAGATCACTGGCCTATTTTGGAAGCGGTACTGGAAAGTATTGAGCAGCAAATAGTCTCGTTTTAACTGCAAAATGCACATCTCAGTCATAAAAGAAAGTAGGAGAGGTTGGGCTTCTGTTCTCTGAAGGAATGTTTCCAGCCACTGTGTAGTTGATCGCTTAATTCGCCTCCTTATGGTCGAGGGTTAGTTGTGGTTTACGCTTTAGACTGTATATTCGCTGTACTGTATATTGCAGATGTTTTTGCATCAGTTACGCAAATTATGTAGCTGAGGAAGAAGCTAACAATGGTTTGCAAGAATGTGGTACCTGTATTTCTGATTATGACCGAAGTCAACTAAAGTCGAACATTCAAAGTACCTGTAAGATAAAAGTATGTTGAAAAATAGTAGCTGTTATTGAAAGGCCATCTAGCACATGTGATTTCGGATGGGTTTTTGTGAATGTTTTCGCTCAAACAACACAAGGTAAAAGTAACAAAGAAATAGTTCACTCAGGGTGTTATTTTGAACATGCCCTCCCTTTTTTTTGGCAGACAGCAGTCTCTCTTCAATGTTCTGTCGGCGTATTCAGCCTACAACACAGTAAGTGGTACTTTTGCTTCCATCATAAAAAGCACTCTTGTAGTTGTTGAACTAATCGAACTGTTATGAAGGTGATTCAAATCTTTATTAATTTCTTATTTCACCTTCACTGCAAGCATCTGTAACCCGGAACCCACTACCATTTCATTCTTTTTTTTTTTTTTTTTTTTTTTCAAAATTATTTTGCTTATTCAAGAATCTTTCATTCATAGGAAAATTTACATCTGACTCTTTGCCGTTAATGTTTGTTTGATTTTAAATGGATAAAATCAATTCTTTTTTACAAAAGATAGGTCAGTTTATGATGGTTTATTTTTTGAATCCTTTTACACCCCGAGTCGAAACTGTTTTCACATACTTTAGAGTTCCCAGCCAAAACAGAGAAGAAAAATCCCAAATATGAGACTTTTATCGGCATGGTGATACTGTTCAAAGCGTGAGGACTTCAACAACCCCCATATCCAATATTTTCACAATAAAATCCTCAAATTGTAAAATATTGGACGTGTTTACCTCCACCCTGGCACATTTCATGACCACTTCAAACAATTCCAACTTTAAAGTTTCACATTCTATATTAAATTAAATTGACAGCGTTTCAGATCAGTGTCAGCTGTTCAGCATTCGCATAGTTTCTCTACAAACATTTCATCCTTTAGTGATTTTTTTAAATTATTATTGAGGTTTTTGTAGCATGACTACAAATGTTAAAAAAATATATATGATTAATCAAACATGTTGGAAGGTGTTAGCAAGCAAGGAGAGGGAGGGTGCTCGGAATTAGGTCCAGTTCAGCTGTTGGATGCAACTCTAAGGCTCAATGCCACAAAAAGACTTGGTCTTGGATTTAGTCGTCCTGAAGCTGTGATGCCATTTCACCCTCAGGGAAGTCATGAGCCAAAGAGCTGTGGGAACCTCTCCATGTAATTGTTTTCACCTTGTCCTGTGCTCTGCAGGAAGTGAGTTATTGCCAGGGCATGAGTCAGATCGCTGCATTGCTGCTCATGTACATGAATGAAGAAGATGCCTTCTGGGCTCTGTCACAACTGCTGACCAACCAGAAACACGCCATGCATGGTGAGATGATGTTTTGAAGATGGCACACACTGTTGTGCTCCGAAGAATAGGAAATGGTCATTGGACGGTTTATTGTATGTTGCTCTTGGGACGTGCAGGGCCATGCAACTTCCTGTTGGGCGTTCTGATTTTGCTCTTTCAAACAAGGATGGATCTCATTTTCAATGTATCTCTGTTGTCTTGCCCACAATGTCCGCCCATTTTCCCTTCTTTCAGGATTTTTTGTTCCGGGGTTCCCCAAACTTCAGAGATTCCAGGCACATCATGATCAGATCATTTCCAAACTCATTCCCAAACTAAAGAAACATATGGTGAGACGTGAGAGTGTTGTGTTGCGTAGTGCACGCAATACACCTGTAAAGATGGAGTGGTGTGTACAAGTTTTCAGTTTTAATAAGCATTACCACGAATGTGTTTCTCTGCAGGACAAAGAACAGATGTCGACAGGCATTTACAGTACTAAATGGTTCTTACAATGTTTCATTGACAGGGTGAGTAATTTCACGAAAAGACACAATAGTACATTGACATTGCCAATGTACCAGAGAGAGCCATTAGGCACTCTTCAAAGCTAAATCACCCAAGTGGTCCATTCCAAAATTTCTTTGAAATCCCATCCATATTCATAGTAAGAGTGGGTGGTCTGGGCAATTTTTTTTTCCCCAAAAAACTTCTGAACAATAATTAGACGACATTCTTTCCCCCCCCCCCCCCCCAAAAAGTCTATATCTGAACTTGCTTCGCAGAAACATTACCGGTATACAGCGTTTCTAAACATTTCTTTCACATTCATTTTTTTATTTTCATTGCTGCATACATCTTCTCCAAAACATTGCAAAACAATATTCTACGGTGAAATTTAACAATGAGGTAATTAAAATGAAATCCAGGCTTTTAAAGGGTGTTTTCATGAATGTTTTTCAAATGTTTATTTCACTTAAATGTCACCTTTTTATCCCAAATGACAAATATCATCACATTTTGAACTGCAAATACTGGTCTACGTCTGCCAACTATTACAGCTATTAGAATGAGGAAAAGGTGTTTTAAAAAATTCTCCTTAATAAGAGATATCAACAAAGTTTGATGTGTCGTATGCAAAGGTCCACCATTTCCAGCTACTATAGCAGTCAAAATGAAAAAAAAACATATCTGTTTTATTTTATACACGGTGATCTGAATCGCGGTACCGTAGTTGACTTGTTAGCACGTCGGCCTCGCAGTGCATAGGTGCAGCGTTCGATTCCAGCTCCGGCCTTCCTGTGTGGAGTTTGCATGTTCTCCCTGTGCCTGGTGGGTTTTCTCTGGGTACTCCAGTTTCCTCCGGTAGGTAAATGGAACACTCTAAATTGCCCCTAGGGGTGACTCTGAGTGTGAATGGTTGTCTATATGTGCCCTGCATTGGCTGGCACCCGGATTAGAAAATGGATGGAGAGTGATTTGTACACTTCTGTCACCCTGGATATGTTTTTTGTGGATTTGTGGATGTCTTTCACACATACATTAAGAAAAATACATCGACATTTAAAGTCACAACCAATACAACGATCTTTTGGCAGATAGTTTCCAAAATGTGGCAACTTCAGTCTTATCAAAAGCGAATAATTCCCAGGCTGACGATAGACTCCTCCATTTCCTCAGTTTGAAACAATGCTGTCTTGCACTCGACTTGGCTGGCCCATTGAGTCACGTGCCCACTGATTCGCGGAATGAAGACTTATCACTTCCTGCTCCTTTACAGTCTATGAACGCTGATTCGTTGAATGAGGACCTTAATAACTTCCTCCTACTTTGCAGCCAAACAATGGACTTAATTAAGGCAAATTGCCCATTGTGAAAGGAACACTGATGATAAAAATCAATGACGATATAAATTGCCCACTCCATAGAGTACTGTATCGTTTTTCTTTCTTCTTTTTTTTTTTTTTAATCTCTGGAATTCTGCATCAGAAGCAATACGAACCGTTCAGCTTTCCCAAACCAATTTAGGCTCACAATTCTGTGGTGGGGGTTTGGCACCGCCGGGTCACTGTCAGCACTTCTCTTTCCCAGAGAGTCGTCTCTCTGTGGGCTTCTAAAACAAAACCAAACAAATCGTCCGCTTTGGCTAGAAGGAGATCCCGCAGATTCAATAATCCATCGTGATGATGTGATTTTTGCAGACCCCGTTTACTTTGACCCTTCGCCTCTGGGACGTTTTCATTCTGGAGGGAGAGAGGCTCCTCACTGCCATGTCCTACGCCATCTTGAAGCTACACAAGAGTAAGATGACAAACAGCTTGCCATTGATATTGTCAGCATTTTTAACACCCTCTTACGTATCATAACATATTTTTGAATCTTCATTTCTTATTTACTCCCTTAAGAAACAGGTTTACTCAGGCATTAATTTGTGTGCTTTGCCTCTGTCTTTCACATGATGATGCCGCACCTTGAACAAATTAATAGTTTGCCCTGTTTAGATATTCTCAGGAAAGAATTGTTCATCTTCTGTCTCGGTGCTTTCGGACAGACGTGAACACAGCAAAGAAACTCCGATGCCAGCCAACGCAATCACAAACGCGCTCTAGCTCCACCGGTTAGCGCATCCCTAGATGTGAGAATGAGTTTGTCAACGTGTGCCCTTCAATTGACTGGCAACCAGTTGAGGGTGTCCCCCGCCTACTGCCCGAGGACAGCTGGGATAGGCTCCAGCACGCCTCGCGACTCGTCAGGATAAGCGGATCAGAAAATGGATGGATGCATGGATAGTATTTAGTAAGGGACATTTTTGGTTGTCGTTTATCAGGATGGTCCTTGCAAGCTGTTTGAGCATTTTCAGCTCAGACTGTGAAGTTTAGAGGTCTATCCTTTTTCATTTGTATGATCTTAACATAGCCTCATGCATGTATATCTGTATTTGGACAGAGCGTCTCTTGAAGATGTCCTTGGAGGAGCTTCGAGAGTTCCTGCTGGAGCGCATTGCTGAGACGTTTTTTTACAGTGACGACATGGTCATTGAACAGCTCCAGGCCTCTATGACTGAACTACGAAAGATGAAGCTGGATCTTCCTCCTCCAGGTGTATATCGTAACTGGTCAATTTAATCCTGACTGCTTCCAGATTGTGTCTTATTTTTGTACGACCTCAACCAATACACTGAGCATGGAAGGTATGTCATCAACCTATATGTAGTGCCTTTTCCAACAACACAGGACAGCGCAGGCCTGGCACAGATACAACCTGGAAAGTTGTTTACGATGGAAAGTAGCCACTGGCTAATTCCGGCATATTTCCAGTGAATGTTCATCAATATGCATACCTGTCAACTCATACGGTTTAGCCATAGTTCATACGGATTTTGTGGTGAATCTTACGTATATGGCCGTATCGCACAAATCATACGGATTCTGAAAATTTCCGTATTTTTTTTTTTTTTTTTTTCCCCTAACAGGTAGCTCCGTTTGCTTTTGCCCAGAATGGTGCTAGTCTACTCGAATGCTTTCATTTCCGGTAACTTTCCAGTAATGCCACTAAGTTGAATGATGATTAGACATTATCCAGACATTGTATTATGGAGATCTACAATAAATATCATTGAAAATTTCGTGGGTTTTTTTCTGCCGTTATTTTGACATATAAAATGCTTTGGTATGTTATAAGGATTTTTTGCTCTTTATAAGGATTTTTTTGGTAGTTTATACAGGTTGGCGCGCCGAAAAGTTGACAGGTATGAATATGCACCGCCCCTTTTAAATAAATCCATTGTAAATTGCAAAGCATTTATATTCACATCTCTATGCAATTTAGAGCAATCAGTGAACCTAAAATAGAAGCTGGAGTAGGTTTCCTGGAGAGACACAAACACAGTAACCAGATGCAAGATCCACACAGAAAAACCCAAAGCAACACATACAGTATTGAGATGTTTTTGAGTCCTAACCGATCCCAACCGCTCCACAATATGTTTCTTTGAACAGCATTTATCCACTCGTTTTCTCAGGTAAGCCTGAAGAGTTGCCACGGAAGCCTTTGGGCCAGGAGCTTCCAGTGCTGCTGACTCCACTGGCGCCATCCAGAGGAAAGCTCCCCACGGCCAGAGGTTGTCCCAAAGCAGGACTCAGCTTGCACATCATATCCAACCAGCCAGATTCCATATCCCCAGACGAGAGCCCTACCAAAGACATCAATGATCTCCATCCTGTTGACCATGAGGAGGTCCCTCTTCCTTCCCCTGATCCTATTATCATCCATAACCAGGCCCTGTACACTTCAGATGACTTCCCACTTACGGGACCACCACCTTACCAGCCCCCAGAGAGTCAAGCAACCGGAACTGCTGATCGGCTCTCACGGTCTTATGAGTGGAAGATTGAGGAGCAAGCTGACCGCTCAGGACTCGCAAATATACACTTGACAGACAACCTCACCCCTGCGACAATTAGCACTGAGGGATCATCCAACAGGGTCCTAAGGACTCTATCGGCCCCCATATTTTCTGCTCACTCGGAAAGTGAAACGGCAGCAGAGATAGCGGAGGGTAGTTCCCTAGTCCAACTGTCGTATTCTCTGTCCTCCATTAGGTCCCTGAGCCAGGACCAGGCCTGAACACTTGATAATGCCCGTTGTTTGTTCGATAACCAGCTCATAATTGGTCCTCTCAATGTACATTCAATTTTGACTGCCTTGTGCACATGCTTTGCTCTGTGAAGAGGACAGCACAAGGTACATTTGCACCACAGTCTGCGGTGTTGTTCCGAGTAAAGTATCAACACAACTTTATTGCATTTCTTCTTATTATTCTTCTTGTCCATAAAGAATTGCATTTTTGAGGAACTCACCACGAAAAAAAAAAAAAACACCAAACTTTGTACACGCATTGAACCTGGCAAAAAAAATAAATAAATAAAAAAGAAGAAAAAAAACCCTTTAAAGTTGCTATCCACGAGTAATGACACAAATAGGACGAAAGCCCTCTAACATATAAATGTTTTTGCCAGGCCTTCTATTTTTGCAAAGAGTTAAGACCCTCAAAAACAGCATCATGTTTCTTTGCAAACTGCGCATCACCATGGCCACAGAATGCGACGAAATAAAACGCTTTCAATAATGGTCGTCTTAAACATCTTCAGATGAAACACGAGACGATTGGATCAATTCTGTGGTAAGGAGTTGAGTGCCGCTACAAGCATGTTTCTTAAGTTCTTCTCATGGAGACAATTCTCCAAACCTCCCGCTTATATGATTAGTTCTGCCCATGAACATCGTCATCCAGGAGTGATTTGCCAGGCCCCGTGGAGGACCCTTGAGCTGGGTATTTTGCTCTGAGATGATCCGCCAAAGACATACAGCTAATATGGTGTTTGAATTTGGTTTTGCAAAGTGTGCAAATGACTTTAGATTCATTCAACGAGCGTCAAGCAGATAAAACAGAACGTAAAACAACCTATAGTCTGTGTTCATGCCAGTGACTCCTCTAAGTTTGGCTACACGCATGAGCAGAGGTTACAGGCCGCCACAGGAAGTAAATAAAACTGAGTTAAATTGTTTTTAACAGTATTACACACACACATACACAAGGGTGTGTGTGTGTGTATAAATAAGGTGAATGTTTCAGTATAAGGACTTATGTTTTTGGAATGTGGGAGGAAACCGGAGTACCCGGAGAAAACCCACGCAGGCACAGGGAAAACATGCAAGCTCCACACAGGGAGGACAGAGCCTGAATCAAACCGACGACCTCTGCACTGTCAGGCAGACGTGGTAACCAGCCGACCACCGTGCTGCCCCAGGATCTTTTTTTTGTTTTTCAAAAATATTGTACCCAATTTAGAAGGTTGCATTGCTATCTATTAACATTTGATGAGAGAACATAGGCCATATTTCTATGTCAACTGTGCTCACTTATCATGAGAAAAATAGTTGTGTGATACGGTAACTGCATGAACAATTTGGGAATATTGGCACGCTGTAGAGGCAGCATCTGTTTTTCTACTTTTCTCTGCATTTTGCAGACAAAGTCAAGAGTAGAAACGTATGTAATGTGGCGTGTCACCTCTATTTCAAATTAGGAACTCAGTCTGGCAAGGTACATTTTTAAAAGTTTTATTGTGGTTTGGGGTGGTCTTCAAATATTTCAGTTACTGTGATGACTCCATATAGTAAGAAAATATAATTTACTGCTGTTGAAAGTTGTGTTTATGATAAATGTCTTCCAACGGTGTGCCCGTGTGGGAGTTTACAAAAACATATTTTATCGTGACTCCCCACTAGTTCCTCAATTTGAGAAGAGATGCTTATTTTTCATAATGGCCAGTATTCGAAATACTGAATCTCTTTTTCAAGATTTCCAGTATTCTAGTGTTTATAATCAATGTCTTCATAGGAAATATAGGATCATTTTCATTTTAAACTTCAGAGCCACTTGAAGCTTTGTGTAATACCGTTTCAAGTAGAAAAGTCAAAGAAGCTTTGTGTAATACCGTTTCAAGTAGAAAAGTCAAATACAGGCATCACTCTTTTTGACTTATTTAAAATGTTTGTAGGTTTGATTTTTTTTTTTTTGAAAAATCGGGGAACAAAGATTGTGAAACCTTTGCTTGCCCTTTTACCTTTTTGTACTGATATTTTGAGGCTTTGTTTGAAGCGATTTTGCTTCTTCTGTGGTCATTGCGCTTCAAACGCAGGATACATCAGCCTTAAAAATAAAAAAAAAAAGACAAAAAGAAAAGTTGGACTTGAGGCCTCTGCCATGGTGAGCTGGCTCACTGTTAGAACTGCACCGAATGAATCTGTCCCCTTAGCCTCCTTTTCTACTCAGTAATTTATTGTTATACTCTTAAATTGAGTCCATCAGTAGGGTACCTGGAATATTTAATGCATTAAGCGATTTTAAATGGTGATCACTCATTTCTTTTTCAGGCTGATTTTTTTTTTTTTTTTAATCATTTACGAATCACCCTTGCAACGAACATGTTTAGATTATTAATCAAATATATAGGTCCCATAGCAAGTTTTTATTGTTTTAAGACAGAGGGCAGTGCAGCCTTGTGCTCAAAAACAGTAAAACGCTGCCATCTTGTGGTTGTTTTAGGTAAAGCATTGCTTTCGCACAGTTGAACTCTGCTGACCGTTCCGGTCATTTTGTCCAAATTTCCATTTTATTTCTGTGAGCAGAAAACGACGCGTTATTGTGTGTTTTGTATTAACATGCCAGCACCCCCCGCGACCCTAGTGAGGATCAAGCGGTTCGGAAAATGGATGGATGGATGGATGCCAATAATAATAATAATAATACATTTTATTTATAAGCGCCTTTCAAGACACCCAAGCAAGCGCATTTCTTTACATTATGTCTGTTAAACTCTGGCTTTTAATTATTAAAATGTTTGATTCCAGTCTGCGTGGCGTGGTATTGACGTTAAATGTACAGTACTGTATTGCACAACAGAATTGCACGTCACCAAGAAAGTGAAATAAACAGACTAATGCCTGAGCGTGGAGGCAGTTTTTTGTGACGGAAGAAAAATGCATCAATCCCAAACATAGTGAGTTCCTACTAAACGTAGACAACTATATATATATATATATATATATATATAGGTACGAATATACAACACCTTTTTATATACCTAATTTTTTTTTCGTTAATTATAAATTTATGACATTTCCATTGTAGTTGCTTTTTCACCAAATTTACCTCCATACTAAAGCTCAATGAATTTGAAGTTAAATGTAAGTGTCAGACGTCGCGGTGGAGATTTGTAACATTCGGACACTTTTTCTTTCGCCTTTGGTACATTTATTTGGAACTTTGCTGAAGGGATACGACCGTTTTGTCGCCCCGTCTTGCACAACTGCTGTTCTCGAACCGGTAACCGGAAGAAGTGGCAGTGACATCACATTCTACAGTAGATGCACTGCCCAGTACATACAACATTGCCCTCTGCTGGACATTTTTTATGAATACTGTACAGTACAATAAATCAGGGCGTGGATTATGATACGACATTCAACAGTAAGCCTATGAAATGTTTTTTTTTCTCTGAGCTGTGTCTTGATATGTGATTGTGATACATATCGCCAACAGAGGGCGCTGTATGTTTAGAGTTGATAGCATATGACAAGGCTTCAGGTAAAGACAGTTGACGGAGATCAACATTCGTGCTGGCAACAATAAAGTTGAGCTCAGGCTCATTTGTTCACTAAATGATGCCTCGTCATATTAAGATGAACAACATATGGTACCAGGAGTGAATACCAAGTCGTGCAGCATTTTTTTTTCAAGATGGAGACGCAAAGGCCACAGGAAGGACTCAAACTTGTCGGTAATGTGGATGCTAACTGGCGGTCATTTAAGCAGCAGGTCGAGCTATACCTAGCTGCTTTGGGATTGGAGGCAAGCTCCCACGCGCAGGAAGATAGCGCTTCTAGTCACTGTCGCTGGTCCTCAAGCCATTGAAGTCTTCAACACTTTTGAAGGCTGGCCGAGAGGGTCACTAACAAAGTATTACCACATCAGGTCAGAGCTCAGTGTTACAAATGGACTATTACTGAGAGACAAAAGGATTGTCATTCCGCACAGTATGAGGACAGACATACTGCAAAGGATACATGAAGGACATTTGTTTGTTTGTTTTGTTTGTTTATTGAGCATATATAGTACACACAATAACAGATTGACAAAAGGCAAGCAAAATTTATGAAAGGAAAATTAAAAAAGTAAGTAAAAGTAAAACACACATCATCACAGTTGTATGCTCAAAGCAGTAGGAAGAAGTAAACAACTTATCTTGTCCTACCCTTATTGTGTAGTAATATGAACTGATAATTTTTCAAAACAAAGAAGAAGAAGAAAAGTCTACATATCATCAAATACTTTTACCATTATGTATACTATACTTTTCTATTTATACACCTTTCGGTTTGTATATATATAATTATTCTTTCTCCTTTTTGTTTCAATTTTCTGATATTCATTGTAATTACTGCATTTCTTGAGTACAATTGATAAGTTGATCAAAAGTCCAAAACAAGAACAAACAGTTGTAATACTATATTTTATAAGTATATCAAATTTATCTTCTTAATTCTGATTCATGTAGTTTTTTTGTACTCATCTTTTGAATTTATTTTTGAACTCCTCCAGCGATTTACTCATTTTCAAGTCCGTTTCAAGCTTATTCCACAGGTTGACACCTATTACTGATACACACCTTTGCTTAATGTTTGTTCTTGTTCTGGATTTTTTGTATTGATTAGTACCCCTTAGATTATAACTGCTCACTCTAATTTCAAAAAGCTTCTGGATATTTTGGCAAAGGAGATTGTTATGTGCTTTATACATTAATTGGGCAATTTTGAAATCAACCGGGTCTTAGAATTTCATTGTATTTAATTTGATGAATAGTGGATTTGTGGGTTCGATATATTTAGACCAATTGATTATTCTGATTGCTTTTTTCTGTAGTTTTAAGACAGGGAGTGTGTTTGTTTTACAGGCGTTCCGCCATATTTCCACACAGTAGGTCATATATGGGATTAATAGTGATTTGATGCATTTTTAATATGTATTTCAAGAGTTAGACATTCCATTAGATTCTCTGTTGTATTTGTCAAGCTCTCATTTTTACTGCATTTTAGTGTTTTATCTACATATATTGCAACTCCCCCTCCTTTTTTGTCTTCCCTGAGTTGCATACATTTCATATCCATCAATTTTTATTTCACTTATTTTTTTCATCATCAAGCCAAGTTTCTGATGTAGCAATTATTGTAAATTTATTAAATGTAGTCAAATATTCTTTGATTTTGGTGAAATTTTTATAAAGACTTCTACTATTTATGTGTATCACTGAAAACGTATTTTTCAGTTCTACATTTGTGTTGAATTGTTCGTCCGTATAATACTCGGAGTTTGTGATGCTGTAATTATGATTGAAGAAATTATTGTCTGGATCCAAGTTGTTCTCTGGGTGGAATATCTTGTGTTCAGCATAATCAAAGATTGTAAAGTCCATGTTTGTGTTGTATGTTTCCTATATCGGTTAAGTCAAAGTTTATGTCTGGAGGTAATCAGCTCTCAGCATGTTGAAGTCGAGCCCATTTAGGAGTCGAGAAATGCAAGAGAAGGGCCAGGGAAGCCGTATACTGGCCAGGCATCAACAAGGAAATTGAAAATAGGATTGCAAAATGTGAAACATGTCAAAAGTATCAGTGCAAGCAAGCAAGGGAACCTATGCTGATTCCAGATCTTCCCACCGCTCCCCGGAAGAAAGTTGGAACAGACTTGTTTCATTACAATGGAAAAGATTATTTGCTGGTAATTGACTACTATTCCAACTATCTCGAAATCGCCTTGCTCACAAGCAGAACTGCAACCAATGTCATAACACATGTGAAATTCTTCTTCACAAGACATGGGATACCAGACATTGTAGTGAGTGACAATAGACCCTGTTATAACTGCAGAGAATGGCAACACTTCGCAATGCAGTATGGCTTTAGTCATGTAACATCTAGTCCCCTGCATGCACAAGCCAATGGTAAAGCAGAAAAAGGTGTGCATATTGTCAAGCAACTTCTTAAAAAGGCAACAGACAGCAGATCGGATCCGTATCTAGCTCTTCTGAGTTACAGGACCGCACCGCTTGAATGTGGCCAATCACCTGCTGAGTTGTTAATGAATCGCAAGCTTCGCACAACTTTGCCCTGCAATTCGGAAACGAGACAGAACAAAGACATTCTAAGCAAGATGAACTATCTAACTATCTAAAAAGTAAACAAAAGCAACATTATGACAAAGCGACCAAGACACTTCCACCACTGGTCAAAGATGATGTTGTTAGAATCCAGGATCAAAAGGTGTGGAACAAGAAAGCTACAGTACTCAAGAAAGTTGGACCAAGGTCATACGAAGTGAGAACGGAGGACGGAAACGTGTTCAGGAGAAATCGTCGAAACCTTCGCAAGACCAAAGAACATTTCCAAGAGAATAATGATGAAATGCCAAATGAGGATGTTGTGTCTATTCCAACTGAATTCAAAATGACTGAACTGAACGAGAATGGTCATGAACCATCGTGAGAGAATGATACCTCAACTTCACCTGTTTTAAGGAGGTCCGAGCATAACATTAAGAAACCTGTCAGGCTTGATTTGTGAAAACGCAAATATTTACATTTTTTTTTGCAGATTGACAGGTGTTTTTTTTTTAAAAAAAAGGAAAAGTTGTTCATAATAAAGAAATTGTTTACGCTAACTAAAAAAAAGAAAGATAAAAATAATATTTGCATGTTTGCATATGTGTGGAACTGTATTTTTTTTGTAAAGATAAGGGGAATGTCTTGACATGTGATTGTAATACATATAGCCAACAGAGGGCGCAGTAGGTTTAGAGTTGATAGCATATGACAAGGCTTCAGGTAAAGACAGTTGACGGAGATCACCATTCGTGCTGGCAACAATAAAGTTGAGCTCAGGCTCATTTGTTCACGAAATGATGCCTCATCATATTAAGATGAACAACACACGTTGTATTTTGGTCCGGGTGGCACGGTATCAACTGTTTGGAACGTCTGCCACGCAGTGCACATGTCATGGGTCCGATTCCGGGCCCATGACACACTTTACTGTTAGGCTTCGTGGAAAAAGAGCACAGGACCCACACCCAGACACAATGAACTCAGAAGGATTTATTTAGCTAGGAGTGGGATAGGTCAAGGTGGCAGGAATCGAATAGCAGAACAAAACGACCAATTCAAGAAGAGCAGGGCGCAGGCGCGTAACGGCTGGGTAGAAGCGAGTGCGGCAGGAAGGAGTCGCTGACGAACTGGCGGCTGTTCAGGCTGGCTTTTATGCTGCAAGTGGCTGATGAGCAGAAGACTCGCAGGTGTGTAAGGGAGGCGGGTGCATCAATTAGCGAGACGCCCAGTCCACACTGAAAAAGGGAACAACAAAAAGGGAGAGGCGACACCGTGGACAAGCAATGCATCCTAACATTTACAAACTCAAAACAAAGCAGTGTTTGTGCTTTTCAGTTTTGCAAACTTTGTGAGCGGCAGTGGTAGTGTTTAGAAATTGTGCCACAACAAGCACTGTTTGAGTTAAAGCATTCAGGGAAAAAAAATGAATTGGTGGTGCCACGGTGTCCCGCCCAAAACGCCAGGTAGCGCTGCGGAACAGATGTACCGTAACTTGAACGGTGCTACTGGGTTTGGGTCACTTTGATCAACTGGGCATCATCGTAGTTGGCTTGTGCGCAGTCACACTTTTCATAGCTCCCCCCCAAAAACCCTTGGCAGTCAGACCAGCCCAGAGAAAATCTTACTCTAAATGGCCCGAGCCGCTCTATGAGTTTAAGTCCCATACATTGATCTGCAATTCTGCATCATGTCCAGCGGTTTGTTGGTGAAAAACGTGGAGTCACTGAGCCTCGATTCGGGCATCGCGGCTCGGTATCCCTGCCGTTCCCTCAGGCGGTCTTCCTTTGATAGGCTGAGTCAGAATCAGCAGGGTCACACCGTCTCCTTCTCCAGCAGAAACGGAAGTTGGGACACGGTGAGCACGCTTCCAGAAGATGCGACGGACTGGGTGGCCAAATGTCCCATCCTACCCGAACTCGAAGAGTATCCATGGACCGAGCAGGAGCTGAGAGAAGTCGTGCACAAGGCAATCGGTTCGGATGATGCGTTCACAGTAGAAGCAGTCCGCCGACTTTCCGTGCTGCTCGGGAGGGCTTTGGTGCGGATCTCCAGAGAAGCACAGCGGCTGAGTGAGCTCCACAAACGATGCACACGGCAGGAGGTGCAGAGCGCCGTGAGACTGGTGCTGAGCTGGACTTTGGCCGACAAGTGCATTTTCTCCGCGGTGAGGGCGGTGTCCCTGCACTGCATGAGCTCCGGGGACACCGTGCGTCAGCTTGGCAAATCCGCGCGGTGCGGTTTGTCCCTCTCGGTCGCTCGCTTCTTCAGATGGATGGTCGAAACGCGTGTGTCGGTGCGCGTACACGACTTCGCCGCTGTCTACCTGACGACATGTGTTGAACGTTTAGCGGAGGAAGTCGCGGGTCGTGCGTTGCAGGCAGCCGGGTTGACCCCCACATTGAGTGAGGAGAGGGCCGGCAGCATCATCTGCTATCCGATCACCGCCGAGATGCTGGAAGCGTCCGTCAACAACGACACGGAGCTGTGGGGGCTGCTGCAGGTCTACGAACATCTCATCTGTGGCAAAAATGCAAATGGTCAGTAACTCTCAATTACACAAACAGAACATTTGTTTATTTTTGATGTCAGTCGAAAAATACCAACTACTGTGTGCTGCGCTGTTTTCAGCTTGTATGTAATCAGTACAACTCAATGGTGACAACTTGCACGATCAAATGAATGATAAAAGTTGTCAATTCATGGACTATCTGACAGTGGCAGGGGCCCTAACAGTCACAGCAACAACCCCACAGTAACAAATACATTGTTGTTATAATCTCCATATCAGAGCATAATATTTGTAAAGGCACGGGCTGTGATACGGTATCTTAGGAACAAGTGGTCATAATACTTTCTGGTTGGTAAGAAACACTAAATGTTTAAGATATTAATTTTGAAAAAAAATGTAGCCTACAGGTCCTCGATATTATTCAGGTCCTCGATCAAGTGTGGTTTCGGAGGATGCGATGCACAACAAAAACAAAATATGTTTCCAAATCAAAATGCCAAGCAAAGGCTGGCAACAGCATTCTTTTGGCATCGATATCTCATAACCGTTTGATGTGAGGTTCTTAGGACTGTGTGAGGTAAAAATCAGTGTTAGAGCCAGAGAACCAAGCAAGTATTTAGACAAGATGATGAAATTAACGGATCTGATCTTTAAAAAGAGGTCACCTAATTCTATCCACAAATTTACTTCACACCATTAATACAAACTATGAATTCTTGAAGAAGTGGATTTTTCACTGTCAGTATTGTTGTATTTATTATGATAACATTGAACTTGAACATCAGGAAGAAAAGCAGATACATTTGCCGATCCATCAACAAGTATACCGCCCTGTAGGGAGGCGCCATGCTTCTCTGTCTCTGGCCCATTGCATGCTGGGATGCAGGCCGAGCTCTGATGAGGCTAATCAGGAAAAGGCGGGTGGAGGAAGGCAGCGAATGCTGTTAGCCCGTGACCCCACAGAGAACACAAAGGGGCTCTGATTCCATCTGAGCCTGCAGGAGGCACGCGGTTCACGGCACTCAATAGTGTCTATTCCACACACCAAACAAACACGCAAGAGCTGCCTGTCACATCCCTTGAATAAAACACACCATACACTTCTCTCTTTTAACAAGTGGTCGATTTGTAGTGCCTGTTCTGATGGAAAAAAAAAGAAATCAGTCGAGAAAATATTTTTTCTCCACTTGAAATTAAGTCCCCAAATTATTTTGTCACTGTCAAATAATAATAATAAATCAACACTAGAAGAAGACTGAAACTTGTTAAAAGCAATGATATTGATAACTATTGATATAATTATTCTCTAAAAATAGAATAACAATTTTAAAATAATAATAAATATGTGGCACGCACTTTATGTGAGGGATTCTAAAAAAGGTGTTTAATTCACTACATTTTGTAGCTATGTTTGTTTCTTTATATGACACATTGAATTTCCTATTTGTCTGTTGGTTGTCAGTCTACTTGAAATTTGCCGTGATTTAAAAATAAATCATGCTTTTGCACACCCTTTGCCCACAATAATGTGCGCACAATAAAAAGAAATGCAGCTAAATTGAACTAAAAATGATCTTAACCGTTTTGCTGTTCAATGAATCCCTGTTGGGTGAACTTGCAAGTCAGTTTTTCTGTCACGGGAATTCCACGATTGCATAGAATTTCCAAATCTTGGATACTATTCATGTATGAATTAGTTTTTGGACACACGTTGCAACAAGTCAGTTTTTTACACATCGACCTGTTATACTCTTGTTGAACTGCAAGGGTATGTTGACCTCTGCCATATCTTATTAAAACAAACTTTTTCGAGGGAGAAAATGTGTTGTCCCATAGCTAAACACAAGAGGTGCTTTATTCTTGGCAGCAGAAAAGGACTGTTGTTCTCTCACAGGCTCCGTTTTCTTTTGGGAGACACACACAAACGTATACTTGATCCAAAGATGCTTTTGAAACATGGCCTCGTTAAGAGTTTTTATTTTTCATTGATTCTAGTTGAGGGAAATGGCTGAATCGCTCTCAAGTCTGAATATAAATCGTGCAGTGTTTGGCACAGTAGACGAGCTGTATGTGTGTGCGCCTGTGTTTTTAGGGGCCACAGGTAGAATCACAGAACAGTGGCTTGTGTTTTGTTCTCCAAAGACTGGTCTCCTGTTGTGTACTCATGAATAGAGGCCCGTTCACAATTTTCGTAAATACAGCAGAGTAATCGAAACCAATTTTCTGACACAATTGTTTCTTGTTCAACTAAATATATTATTACAGTGAAACTCCTCTACAACGAAATCATGTTTGCAGCAAGAAATTTTTCACAACAGGGGGTTTTTCACTGTAGCAAATTTGATCTCAGATGTAAGCAAACTACCAACCAACCCAACACACACACACACACACACACACACACACAAACGTATGTGTACTCTATTTTTATTCCAATAGTGCATAAGTATGAGCACACACTTATTTGACACTTCATATTGTCAGTGTAGAAAGAAAAAAAGGGAAAGAAATTGTGAAATTTATGATCAGCATTCACTTTCACTTACATCAATTTCTTGGATAATGTCTTTTATTTTGCTTGCTCCGTCTTTCATTTTGATCACTTTTACCCTCTCTTCCTCTGCCAAATACTTACGTCGCATCAGAGCTCTTCTTGTCTTAGCTGTTTGACATCTAAAGGTCCCTTTTGCAGCCATTTTAGCAATGCAACGTCCATCCTCGTCTGAATCTAACAATAACAAATACTTCCTGGCATGCAATTAACTT